ATTCCAAACGACCACCTTACAAGGCACTAATGAACTCAAGGATCAGAGCGTGCTATCCCAGTACTCGTTTTTCGATGTTTTAAACGTTTCGATTTTAGCCCAGTATTGTATTAAGATAAAGGATCGTTGCACAAGAGTAGAAAATTTGATCTTCAAAAGTTCAAACCCAATCTCGAGCCCAGAGTCTTCACGGCTAATGTCAGCGGTATGCTGACGCCGGAAAGACTCTGGAGGAATCGACTGGATTTGCGACGCTTTTCCGTCGCAAATTATGCAAATTAGGTCAATTTTGTTTTTGCCGCTTTAGAGCATCAAAATGATAAAAAAGAAGGAGGTTTAGCACACAACTTAGTTTAGGAACAGTATTGACACCTTTTAAAAAACACAAATGTGTGAAAACATGTGTGGTTATGCGATAAAAGTATGATATTTTTGATCAAACAGGCGAGCGCGCGCTGGCGACTTGAAAAACCGATTTGAAAACAATGCGCGCTCGCGTCATTTTCAACCAATCACGAATCGAGAAAAATTGTTTCCTCCAGAGTCTCTCACGCATTGACATCCGCTGGATGGCAAAAGTGTGGGCTCTGGGTACGAGATTGGTTCAAACCTCAAGGGAACTTGTAGAAAGCTCTATTTTGGTGGGAAAACCCGCTGACTCGTTCCGGGCTCAAATGTCCGGAATTTCTGGCCATGGTTCTTGAACTTATAGACACTTCATGTCCACAACCGGTCGCTTTCTGAATTTCGAAACGATAAGAATGTGAGCCACGAAGGGTTGAATAATGAAATACTAAAATCAAATAAATTATAGAAAGACGAAAAATAGTGAAAATTTGAAAAGATAAATACGACAATACTGCAAAGATCATGATGTTTTTCGTGTATTTTGGATTGATTTAGTTGGTAATTTAATATGCGTTGCGCTTTTCTCGGAGGGGTTAGTCTAATATTTTGAAAAGTCACTACCTGCGCTATGATTGGCTARTCGCTATTTTTAATAATTCAGCTACATCGCAAAAATTCCCTACTTCTAGAAAGTCTACTAGATTGAAGTATAAGAATAAGGCACGTCATTTAAAACCATGTATATTCACTTCAAAATTTATTTTTAGATAAAACTTTTGGCCAATGCAGTCAGCTCATTGTCGCGCAACGTCATTTTGCTGCGAGACAAGTTGTGATGATATAGTAATACGGGCAATGTTTGAGTTTTGTTGCAAAAAGTAGAAGCATGCATCTTTTTCTTTCTGCAACAAACTTTTTCAACTGGCAACCAAAAACTTTTGCTGCGAAAAAATTTGGTTTATCGCTAGTAAAACGCGCAACATCGCTTTCCAATCGCACTGCAAAGCGGCTCTTACCATTCTCGTAACCCGGAGCCTTTTTATCGAAAAAACCCTGAATTTATTGGAGGCAGCTGTCTATATTTCAATTCAAAATAAGCGACAAGTTCACAACTTTTAGAGATGATAAAATAAAACATTAAAGAAACTAAAAAAGATTTTTTAGTGCACTAGTTTTGGCTACATTTTATCTCTTATGCGAGTGTAAATTTTTATAAGTAGTATAAAACTTACCATTAAGTCATAATTTTTTTATGACATACTTTTTGACTTCATCTATTTATTTACGAAAAACCACGATCTCTATGGTTCTAATATGCAAAACTAGTTTGCAATATTGTTCATCAGCTGACTCGGCGTGTTTGAGATGACATGAATCTCTAATTTCATTATTTTCTGAACGCATTTTTTCAACCTTTAAGAACTCTTTTATGCTAAACTTATTCATTCTAAAACATCACAAGCAGTGCGAAAGGTATAAACACGATGTTTAATAATTCTACTCTCAACTCTACTCGTCCTGGTATTCCTGTTCCTTACCACAGTAAAATACCATGGACTGTGGCATTTTC